CGACTCATGGAGACATCAATTGATGACAGGGAGAATTGCCTCTGTGAATCTCCGAGACTGTAACTCTTTATGGGGTGGAGAGACCAATCTTTCTCCTGAAGAGTGTCTTGTGGTTTTGAACCCTGACCTTGTGCATCACAGCCTGATATGTAACCACTATGCCACTGGAGCTCCTTTGACTTCACAAGGTGGGGGTGGGCTGGAAAATCAGACTCATCATCAGCCCAAGACCAATTTTTATGAGACTGAAGTCAGACATGCTTTCACACTCCAAGCCTTTTACCAATTCTGATGCCAAATGCCCCTCCCATAGCACTCTCTTCTTCTCTACTGGGTTCAATAATTTATTGCAATGGCTACACGGAAGTCACAGACCATAGTGATGAGCACAGCCATGATCATGTTAACTATGGAAGTGAACAGGATCAGAAATGCTTAGGGAGGGGGGGCGCTTTACTTGGGCAATGCTGCAAAGCTCTTTCAGTTCTGCCAGTGAGTGTTCTAAAGGCAATCCACTCAGCCAGTTAGCTTCAGCCTGAAGAAGCTCACTCTAGCTCGGTGAGCCAGCAAACAGTTCCTCAGACAAATGCCAAGGAGGCATCCTTTCTGCAAGAAGGCCTCCTGTCCTCAGGCACTCAGCTTTCTCACTTGGTGGGTCAGAACGCTCACTACTCTATTGTGTGCTCTCGGTTCTGCTACCTCTGCTTCTCTGCCACTTCTCTGTTATCACAGCTTTCCGTCTCAAAGAGGTTCAAAGCAGGGATCTAGGAGTCTAAGAATGAGCTAGCACCACTCTTGGCTGTTCTTTGATTGATGGTATTGAGATCCTCTCCCTTCTTTTTCTGAGATGGTTCATTTAAACTTACTGGGATGGTAAAATTGACCAGTCTCCGTGCTAGCATTCCACATACCCTATTCCATATATCCCAAAAGTACACTATACCCCATTGACATTATCAACAAGCTATTGAATCCCTTCAGTGCGCCACAAACACCTCTTCAAACCCACTAGCTGTTCTATGAGAGAAAGATGAGGTTGTCTTCTGTAAGATTCATAGTATTGGAAACTTGTTACAGGGTTGCAATGAGTCACGTACTTAATATGCATGTGAAAGTTGGACATTGAACAAGGAAGACTGAAGAGGAATCAATGCCTTTGAATTTTGGTGCTGATGAAGAATATTGAAAGTATGATAGACTGCCAAAAGCACAAACAAACCTGTCTTGGAAAAAGTACAGCCAGCGTGCTCCTTAGAGGCAAAGATGTGAGACTTCATTTCACATATTTTGGAAATATTATCAGGAGAGACCAATCCCTGGAGACGGAAATCGTGCTTGGTAAAGCAGAGGGGCAGCGACAAAGAGGAAGGCACTCGACAAGATGACTGACACAGTGACTGCAACACTGGGCTCAAACATTGCGAGTGTGAGGATGGCGCGAGGCAGGATGGCGCTTTGTTCTGTTGTAGCAAGTGTCGCTGTGAGTTAGCATTGCATCCAACAACAGCAACCTGATGAGTCAGTTGAAAGGATGGCAGTAGAGTTGGGTTTGGCATTACAAAGACTGGCTAGATGACCTGGGTTATACGATTCATGGCATCAGGTGGCGGAAGAGGACAATGAGTTTATGTTAATGATGCTGGAATAACTGGGAACAGGATAGCAAGATTTGCTGCCCAACTTGAAGAATTTAATGAAACCTGCACGTAAGGAATGTCACTGAATTATTCATGTATAAGTAGTTGAATTACACTACATTTTCACCTTAATAAAAACAAATATAAATTGGATTAGTCACAGATCCTTTATTATCCAGAAGCATTACCACTAAGCATTTTGTCAGGGGCTGTCTTTAATTAACAAATGACAGTTGAGATGTGATTGTTCCTTCACATTTCCAGTTCTTATCTGCAACATGTATAGTGATTTAAAAAACAGGCAGTTCAATGATCACAGTAGTCTCAAACACTATCCGCTTCTGGCGGCCACTCTTTCACACATCATTCTATGCAGAAAAATGGAATTTTTGTCACAGCTGTAGATATATACTTTTATGAAAATGGGATCATGGGGGACGGACAACAGAAAAGTGGGTGAAGGGAGATGTCGGACAGGGCAAGATATGACAAAATAGCAATTTATAAACTATCAAGGGCTCATGAAGGAGGGGGGAGTGTGGAGGGAGGGGAAAAATGAGGACCTAATGCCAGGGGTTTAAGTGGAGAGAAAATGTTTTGAGAATGATGTACAAATGCGCTTTACACAATTGATGTATGTATGGATTGCGATAACAGTTGTATGAGCCCCTAGTAAAATGTTTAAAAAAAAAAGAAAATGTTTTGAGAATGATGAGGGCAATGAATGTACAAATGCGCTTTACACAATTGATGTGTGTATGGATTGTGATAAGAGTTGTATGAGCCCCTAATAAAATGATTAAAAAAAGAGAAAAAAAAGAAAATGGGATCATATTCACCCATGATTTTTACTATGCTCAAGTTCAGTAGCATCAAGAGAATTTTTAGTGCTTATCGTACTGAAATGTACGTGGTGTTTCCTATAAGATAAGTAACATACATAGTGCCAAGGGAGGTGGTCACACTGCCTCGGAAGGAGTCCTGGAAGTCTGAGCAACCATTATACGTGACAAGAGCTGCAAAACTGGGTGGTGGTGGTTGTGGTAGTTGAGGTTTGGAGTTCTACACTTGAGCAGGACTTTGTTTCAGAAAAAACAAACCAAGAGTTTTAGGATGGTAGCCTTGGGCTTTTGTGTGATGCTGTGATATGTTTGGTGGAGAACTCAGCTTAAGACAGAAACCTTCAAGGATTCCATCTTTTTTTTTTGTGGCTCTGTCATTGTTGGCATGTAGGCCTTTGCCCTCCTGTCTGTTGTTGTAGCATTGAACTGGGGCAGTTGAGTTTCCTTGTACAGTCGGGTTCTGATAGGTGAAGCTTGTTATCTTATAAGTTTTCCTGGAAATCCATTTCTCACATATGTGTCAGAAGTTGCCCCCAGTATGAAAGGGAGCTGAATTTTTATTTTTCTCAAACCATTTTCTTGGGAGTTAATATCGTATCACTCCATAGTTCAATCACATCAAGCAATTGCTGACACAATCACTGACACCCCCCACCCCCTGCCTAACCACCACTAAAAACCTTTCCCTCACCCACCCCGAAATCCTTATTCTACTTGCTGTCCCTATAAGTTCACTAATCCTGGGTTTCATATACTGAAAAACAGAAAGATATATAACAAAAATTCAAGAGGGTCTACCCCTAGTGACAAAACACATCTGAGATAACCCCCAATATGATCAAACAATACACGAAAATAATGCAGAAAATGTTGAAAACCAGATCATTCCTAATATGCATCAGAGAGGGGACCACCTGACAAGGTTTTAACCATACAAGTCAGGTTTATCATTTTAATCTTCTATAGTCATCTCTTCAATGCACTGTTTGGTAACCAGTTTCTTCCCCTTCCTCTATTAGGGAGAAAGGAAAATCACTGGAGCCTTATTTCCTAGATAGATCCCACAGATGTATCTTGGGCTCCCATGATATTAAGGAATCCTAGTTGGGCAGCTCAAGCCCTTCATCAGCTTCTCTACAAAAGAAAATCTTTCTGCTCCTGTAAAGATTTGCTACCTTGGGAACTTGAAGGGGCACCTCTACCCTGACCTACAGGGTCATTAAGTCAGAACGGGCTCCATGGCAGTAAGCGTGTTTGTTTTGGATAGAGTTGCTGTGCGTTGGATCCGGCTTGGCAGATGGTTTGATTTGTCGGGTTTGGAGGTACTGGAGTCAAGGATGGAAGTAGGCACAGAACATCTGAGTCAGAGCAAGTTACTGCAATCTCTGAATAGAGATAAAGGGCTCAGGCATGAATGATCCCCAAGGACCAGAGTGAGGGATCCTGCTGTATGAGCTGCTGAGAGAATGACTTTTCCTTGGGCATGCTGCATTAGCTCTAAACCTTCTCAAGTTGAGAGGGAAAGAGATTGGCTCCCTCAGACCTGTATTATTTTTGCATTTTCCTGTAAACGGGAGCCTTGGCTCTGAAAAGGTGCATCTAACACACTTGACCTTGCAGTTGTATTCGATTCATGGCCACCGTATGTCGGACTTAAACATTGTCCAATCCTGTATCATTCTCAGTCAACAGCATATTCTAGTCTAGCGCTGTTGCTACTGTGTCAATCCATCTCACTAAGGGTTCCCCATGGCCTTGTTGACCAAACATGATCCCCATTTCTATGATTGATCTCTCCTGATCAAAAGTCCAAAGCAATTAAGTTAGGCATCGCTCACCTGGGATTCATAAGGTTTTCATTGTCTGATTTCTGCAAATATGTTGCCAGGGTTTCCTTCATTGTCTGTCTTCATCTGGAGGCTCACCTGAAACCTACTCATTCTGGGAGATCCTGCTAGTAATTGGAAAACTTCCATTGGACTTGGAATAGCTGGCATAGCTTCCAGCATTATAGTAACATGAAAGCCATTACATTACAACAAACTGACAGACTATGGATGGTGGTAATATACAGTACTGACTCCTAACTCCCCAAAGCCAACTCTGGCAGTGGATTTAACCTTTGCATCATGTCTGTGCTACAAAAAAACAAAACCCTAACCTAGTGGCATCCAGTCGACAGCATGAAGAACTGCGCCTTTGGATTTCTGTCTATGGCTCTTTACCAGAGCAGGCAGCCTCACCTTTCTGCAGCCGAGCAGCTGATGCATTTGAACCACTGACTTTGAGGTTGGCAGCCCACCACTTAATCCATTAGCCACAGAATAACCTTGTCATCCCTCTCAATCTGCCAGGGTATTGAAACAGGCAATATGTGCTCAATAAACACCAACTTTTTTCGTAATTAAGAAGAAAGAGATGAAGAGGAGCATTTATGAGTTCGCCATGTTTTAGAATTGTACCAGATGTTTACAAACACACATCAGATGTTTACAAACACACCAGACGTTTACTCACTCACCATCAAGCTCTTGGAGGTAGGCCAGTACCCATTGAGACGTACCTCGAAGCTCTGAAAGGTTAGCCAGCCTCATGTATTCCTAAAAGGTAGATTTCAAGTCTGACAGCCTTTGCTTTTGATACTGTGCGTTGCAAAAAGTCTCATTCAATTAGTTTGAATTCATTTCAAAATGAAGGATTGGAACCTGCAGGATCAGGAGGGGCGTTTGCTTTGGGGGAGGGCCCGGGCGGGAGGAAGATGGGTGTGTTCATGGGAGGGTAATGCCAACAAGCTCGCCTCTGGGGAGAAGGCTGAGCGACTGGTGAATGCTGGGGGTTCGGG